CAACTCGTTGATCTGCTTACTATTTCACGTTGTCGAGGCATGAGCTTTGTCTAGTCCACAGTTTTCCAAAAGAACAGGCATGAATTGAGGCAGACATGTTAGTACATTCCCACACGAGACCCAATTCTAGCTTACCTAGTTTCTGTAGCATTTGCCTATTTAGCCTGCCTTAATTCACTTCGCTCAAGTACTCCATATCATCCTTGTGTAAAAATATTTGACCTGTGCCAAGCTCTTGTACGTTCCTCATGAGTGCCGTCTGTTCATTGTGATACAGTACTTCTAGATAGGCCTATCTAGCCCAATTTATGTTGATATTGATACAGTACTATATCTGAAATAATAATGACATAATGTATCTATGTATGGTGTGTAGAATGTTGGAGATGACCTGCCTGCTGCAGTGATATTCTGATTTTAAATCATTGTCCTGTACATTACAGTACATAATTAAAAAGCGAAATCAAAAACAAGAATTTCCCCTAGGGTGCTCTTATCTCGATCCCTCACCCCGACCTTTCCAACATCTCTTGATCTGTGTCCCTATAAAATTCTTAATTTTCCTATTATGAACAAGTACGCATACAATAATTACAAGAGAGCGTGACACAGTTTCAATCCAATTTTGTTATAAATATACAAAAACACTGTAGTATCTTTCGGTTTAAGCACCAAGGTTTTTAACAACTGAAATGTTTGAAAGGAAACTCTCTTAAAAAATAACTTTCTTTTTCTCTACTAACTAAATGATTCGATGTGCAACAACTGTACTAAATATGGTCTGTACTAACTATAGCTCTGATTATTAACATGGTGAGAGAACCATGAATGCAGGCGTAATCGATTGAATAGAATTTTAATTCGGGGTTGAAGTTTCTTTTAGGTGCACGTTTTTTGGCAGAATCGATGCAAAGTGAAGATCGTTTATATAAATTTATGTGATTTTCTTTCTCCCAATTCGATACAGCTTCTGACAATTTTTCATAGCTTGTGAAAGTGCCACCGAGACGCAAAGTGTCTTCATCTGCCATCTTGAAACTTATCACCAAGTGCGCGCTACAGAAAAAAAAAAATTTGCACATGCTCAATAGGACGTTTTCGTACTCACGAAGCAAGCGGCGCCCTTCAAATAGCTCGGCGTAAGCATAGCCTATGATTAATGCTTACGACTCGGCGTAAGCATAGACACTTCGTTTAATATTTGTACAGTATTTTATATATGTTATTAGTTTCCCTTTGTGGATTGATCAATAAAAAATGTCATATTTTTTATCTTACTTTATCTCAATGTTAATTCTATAAATTGTACTGAATAAATAAATTATAACTATGCTTGCTATCCATCCTATATAGCATCACTATTCACCATATTGAGAGCGCTAATTTTATATTTGACTGATATTATGTTTCGTTGACACTGGAATGAAGTTGTTTTCTTTGTTCCTTGTTCTACAGTAAAATCTCCTTCTGAAGTTAGATACATGTTCAACATTTGATATTTGCTGTGTGTGTTTAAAAAGGCATTGTATATTTTTAATGAGTTACACTCCTTTTAAAAAGCATGGGCGCCAGGTGCCCAGTGAATCAATGAATCTCTGGACAACTCAAAGAAATGCAGTTGAAACAGACTCTGTTCCCTGTGAGCGACAGAGTGTGCTGATTGTCATTGGCAGTCTTTATGGACAATCATTAAATATGCTCCGTTGCTCCTGTGTCATGGCATTGCATTCTACATAGAATCGCGTCAGGTGCAGTTAAGTGCCCGTCATTTAAAACGCATCACACTTTTCGGAAAAGAGGAGGGAATTTTCTCCTAGTGTACAGCCCAATCGGTCCTGGAGGAGGACCTCACTGGAAATATGTCTATTGACATACTTTCGTGCATTATCATTGGTGGTCACACCAAATAATTCCAATCCAACCCAGGAAAATGCATTTTAACTTGGCCCATGCCAGGAAAGTGCCTATTTTGTACTAATAAAAATATTAAGATAGGATTTTGTACACTTTGTCATAATTTTCATATATGATGAATCTGATGACAAATTCATTATAATATTTTAATTTACTTAAGAACGCATACAATTAGATATAAACAATAGCAAAGGTACCAAATGTTTCACATTTATTATTATTATTATTATTATTATTATTATTATTATTATTATTATTATTATTATTATTATTATTATTATTATTTATATTATTATTTATTAAGTACAGTAAACATGTTTTAAGTATAAGGCAGTAGAAACATGCTCCACTGGAAGCCTATGTTTATGATCTGGACACCATGGTAATTATAGTAGTTGTTACCAAATTTACACTTAAAGAAACATGTACAGTAGCAAACTAAATTTCAACTTGATTAACATTGATTCAATAGTAGGCCTACAGTAGACATGTTTTGTTGTGGTTACTACTACTGTACGAAATCCTCACAACTTTCATAATAATTTGTAACAATGATGTAATGCATAATGTTTTTAAATCAACATTAATGAAAGTAAAATTGTTTTGAATATTAATTGCTAAAAATTATGACCAAATTTTCTTTTGTTTAGTTCATTAAAAAAAAAATAATACAATTAATAATGCAATATAATTTATAACACGCCTGTCAAAGCCAGTCTCTGGAGTGGAACTGGACACAAACAAAATCTGGAAAACTTGGAATCGGTTTAATAAGTTACCAATACATAACACCCTTTTTGCACCTCTTTCCCCCAGTTTGTAAATATCCATAAATCTGTATCTCATTGCTGTTCCTGAGTATGAGCGTATGTATAAAAATAAAAACTTGCATAATCTTTGTTACAGTTATTGAGAAATTTAATTAAGCTATTTAGTCAGAAACTATATTTAAGTAATTTTCTTTCAGGTGTTGAACACAAAACCACAACAATCTTACTTGATGGTAAAAGGGTTCGTCTACAGCTTTGGTAAGAATTCTGATTTCTATTAATACATGTACTAAAATTATTACATCTTGAACCTTAGTCCTTTATTGCTGATCCATAATAATAGAATGATTTAAAGCCTGTTTCCTGTTGACGTTATCGCACATGCAGGTGACTTACTTGTATATTCCACAAATTTTCAATCATACTTTAAATTACTTCCTATTTTGGAATAATGGTGTCGGGACCTCGCATTTAACAATTCTATATTTCACCTTGGCGAATGTATCTGTATCCCTATTTTCTTCATATTTCTTATTGCTACCATTAGGCCTATAGTATTTTTTTCTTATTTGTATAGGCCTACATCACATTATAAATTTGTCTGACACTACTGTATATTTAGTGGCATATCCAGAATATTTTTGCCTCAATGGTGCGAATGGCAATTGAGGTCATTATGTCCGAAAGGGTCAGAAAATACAGTACATGGCCAAGAGAGGAAGGTTTTAGAGTGTACCCTTACCTATTTTGGAATCCCAGGGAATGTCCCCTAAGTCCTAGAGTTTTAGCCATTTTAATCTGTTTTCTAAATGAATTCAAATTTGCTTAGTGATTTTTTTTAACTTCTGCCAGTTGGGAAAGGGGGGGGGGGCTGTTTTGGGTGTACCCTTACCCATTTTTGAATCATGTGCCTCTGCCTCTTAGGTGCCTTTGAATTTTAGCAATTTTATTCTCTTTTCTATTGTTTTTCATTTTGATCACTTTTCTAAATTAATTCAAACTTTTTGGTGATTTTTTGACTACCAAGGATCCGCCAATGATATTGCCACTGAAAATAATTTACAGAATGAAATAATATTCAAAAAATTGTCAATTAAAAAAAAAACCCATTATGTTTTAATATAACTGCCTTTCTGAATATCTTATATAGGTACAGTAGATTGTTTCATTTTTATTCAACACATAAATTGTATTCGGATAAAATCCAAAATGAATCCTTAATTACAATCATGCTTCCTAAGATTAACATTGAAAGGAAGTGATCTGAGTTGTGTTCATCAGATCGATCCAAGTAAATCATGTCATGTCATGTTTATTTAAACAGACTTCTATCCTGTATTACATTTATGCCATTCAAACTGTAGTTCAATGTATCAATGTTCCATTTACAGTTATAATTATGTTTTATTATAATGCATTAATTTTATTTCATTGTTTAAATAATGAACATAATGTCAAATTATTTTTCAATAAATTCGATTTCATACTGGAATAAGCTGGAAGGGATATCCTCTATGGTTTAAGAAAAAACAACATTTTATATGTGGTGTGCATGCTTTTACTTTAAAACACATTCCTTTCATTCATTCATTGACAGTAAGCAAACAAGCATAAAATAGAACAAAAATACAAACAATCTATTAATTAATTGATTAACTGGGATTAAACACTTACGTAAAAGTTTGTTTTTATAGCTTGATCCTGACGAGACAAAAGTAAAAGAAAAATTCAAATCAAAGGGAAAACAGTAATAAAAGAGTTAATAATCAAATTATGGCATACTGAATACATTTCTAAATAATTTATTTTTAATAATTTATCTTCTGTCTAAATATATTGGCATTATTACATGTTTTAAATTTATTGGCCATATCATTCCATAATGCATAATGAAAAATTGTTATCATCAGTCTTCAACCTATAATGTGTTGAAAATATACAACAACAAAGCAAGTTACTGCTTGACACTGTTTAAATGGTTTAAACTGTAGTGTGACAGGTCGGACAGTGTTGTGTCATTCAGGATAGACGTTTACTGCTCAAACCAGAACTGTGACCGAAATATATTGGCAAACCAGTCTGTTTTGATAAATCAACAGTACTCCATCATTTGTTTATTAATGATTTCATTTGTTGTTGCATTTGTTTATAGGGATACATCAGGCCAGGGGCGTTTTTGTACAATTCTTCGAACCTACTCGAGAGGTGTTCAGGGTATTTTAGTGGTCTATGACATCACAAACAGGTGGTCATTTGATGGCATTGACAGGTGGCTCAAAGAAATTGATCAAGTAAGAATGTAAACGACTTTCACTTTTTTACTGTATACAACTGTACTGCGATATACATATCATATCCAACAGATGTAAAAAAACTGAAAATTACTACTTTATTTGAAGCCATACTTTCAATAGTAAATTGAAAATTTCTATATTTACTTCATTTCGAAGCATGGAGATAGATAATGATATGATAACATTGTAAGATTGTGTAATCATTAAGAAAATAATTAAATTCTGTCAAATTGCCTGTATTCTAATTTTCTGAAATGAAACATTGAATATGGTGGTTACAACTGATTGAAAACAGTGTATTCAGTCATGTTAATGTTATCAGCTAAAAAGTCAAGATGCTGTAGTGATTGATGATTGGTTTATGTACAATATAATAACTATGTATTTTAAAATTATGTTTGGTTACTGTAAACCGCAATATTTTAACAAATCGTGCATATTATCAGAGTGTGCATGTGCAGGCCAGGCTAAATTATTATATTATCTCTCCCGCCTGCGTCAACAATTTTGGAAATTCTGATGCGGGAATAATTTTATTTATTTATTTATTTTTTTCTTATCGCATCATTTATTTTAACTGCATAAAAACAACTTCGCAAAAAACTCAACTTTAAACTCTTCCAATTGATTAGATCAGACATTGAGATCCCCACTGTAAAGTTGAAAATGCAAAGCCCATTCTTTAAACTTGTCCACACCTAAAAAAAGAGACCCTCCCAGTGGGCTGATCACATCGTTGATTCACAGCATGAAGACTCGCGTTCTCCGCAAATACTCTCTCTGCTAAAAATAACTTGTTACATAAGTGGGCGGTCTTCCTTGTGATGGGTGTGTGGTTGGATTGGTTGTTGTGGGGCAAAAACTAACCTACGACGTCAAGAAAGAAAGTTTAGGCAAAGGCTGGCCTAGCTTGAAGTAAAGACCAATGCCTAGGTGCATATACCTAGGTCTACTATATAACTACAATTAGGATGTTCCCTTCTCTTTTTGATGCTCGAGTGATGTCTGATTTTTTCACCGGAATATAGGCCTAGTTTTAGATAGGCCATTGAATCACAGGACAGTTGTTTAAATGCATCTGCCACCTTGAAAAACAATGTCATGTTCGTTCTGTCATGCACACGAGAATCCCCATGTATAAGACCATTTCCCCCACCCCCCGCACCGCCAAAAAAAAAAAAAATGAAAAAAACCTATTCTATTTGCCTAAAAGGAAGGGATTTTGTGTTGCTGGAAGACTTTAGTTTCCTACGTCGAGGTTGGGTTTCAATCCTTGGCTGTGCATTTCACTTTGGTTCTTGAGCAAAAACGGGTAAAATTGCTAAAAGTTTACGATTCAAGAAAAATAAAAGTGCTAAAAATATACATAAAATTAATAAAATGCCATATTAAAATTTCAAACAAAGTAAAGAAACCTCAGTATGGATTTAAAAACAAATCATAATTACTATTTACAAATTATTATTATTATTAATATTATTATTATTATTATTATTATTATTATTATTATTGTTATTATTATAATTTCTCCAAATCGGACTTATGGGGAGTATCTCTTGTGTTATTTTCCCGTTTTTTTATTTGTTGTCTAATTTCTCCACTGTCTCAGTTCCCCTGATGGTAGGTTCTAGTAACATTATTATTGTTATTATTATTATATAAATTATTATTTATTTCATTATTATAAATTATAATGAATATTGCCAATATTATGTGTTAAAATATTCAAAAAATCGATGCTAAAAAAATCAGACTAAGTAAAAGGTTGTCTCTAACGTATACAGGAACCTCATCCCAGAGGCGTATTCATTTTTAATCTACTCCATGTTAAGCTTACTACATAATTATCAATTTATGCACTGTTGTTTTAGATTCTTGTTACTGCAGGTCATGTTAAACCTACTATATGTTATTTTATGCACGTAACACTAAATGAGATCTAATATCAAATAAATCACAAATTTTAGTTACCATGGAAATTTTATAGCAAGCGAGCTGAGTTGCTGTAATATTAAGAGCAAGAATTTGTTTGAAATTATTAGAAAGCAAGTCAACTGTCAAGTGTCTTCAATGTCATTTCATAGAGAAAAATACATAAAATATGTAATATTAATACTGTTGGAAATACTCTAAACCTTTAAAAAGTATATTTGTTTATCATATCTTTGTCAGGTTGAAGTATATTGTTTTCTGATACATAACTGGATTTATTGTTTAATATTTAAAATTCAAATTACATTCCAGTTATTTTGTAATTATTTTTATTGCTGCGAAGCAGCCAATTCATATTCTTGACAGCAATTTGACCTCTGAAAGGTCATTGTTTGTCAAAAAACAAGGGCCTAAGACGACTGAAAAGCGGAGTTTCCTTCTTTCGTTCTGCCGGGTAAAATCAATTACTTTAGGCGACGTTTGTAGACTAACCAACACGTACCAACG